ACTTGGAAAATGTAACAGTAGTAATAATAATAATAATAATAATAATAATAATAATAATAAGGTTTGGGCACTATCACTGTTATTTTGTGACACTATTTACTTTTGTAAGGAATATATACAACATTTTTTTAAAAAAAAAGAAAATTAACAATTCAAACAATTTTTCACGAGATATTAAACTAAAGGAAGGCGAGAAGGAAAAACAAAATTGAAAAAAAATGTTTCTTTTTTTGTTTAATTATTTTTATTTTAAATAATTGATATTTGTATATAACAACAACATTGATTGACATTATTAGCAATAATAAATAAAGAAATAAAATCATTTTATTTGCATTTAAATCAAACAAATAATATAATGGCGTATAACTTGAAACTTTTTTATTATCAAATAATATTAAATCTGAAAATAATTGTTAAAACCCGCTTTGATATATCGAGCTTCATCTGATTAAAATCATTCTCTTTATTTACGACGGTATTTGCGGAAAATGGTAGCTACCAGCGCCTAATTGGTCAAGTGTCCAATCATTTACGCCAAGTATCTTTAGCAATGCCAATTCCTACACGTAATCTCTGGGTAGTAAATTACTATAATAAAATTTATTTATATCTTTTTTTATTACTTAATTGATCATTTATTCGCAATTATTATAATTGTTCTATTAATATAGTAGTAAAAAATTTTTTGTGGCTTAAAAAATCAGGTAAATCATATACGTGTTGGATAATGATTGGATTTTGACGTTGCTGATTTATTAAATTCAGCTTATACTGCGCACTTTTCTTACTGTTTCAGAAAAACCAAATTGAATTTTCTAAAAGTTGTGAACAAGTTCAGAATAATTATTTCCATATACGGATAGAGTATAAGGAATGGGAAGGTCAAGTAACTCCGGGGCACGGCAAAACGAAGGTCCATGATAAAAACACCAAGGTTTGTTTCTATTTGAATGAAATGAACAATACAATAATGCTAATAAAAAGATGCAGTACCATGCATGTGCTTGTAGCAGGAACAGCTCAACCTCACACAACTGTTTGTATAAAAATTCATGTTACGACAAGTATCGAAGGTTTCATTAATTAATTGCACACCCATCCTTTGCTCAGAGTCGTGACCCAAATAAAATAACTTAAGTCATACTGAACCTTTTTGGGTCGTTTATAAAACCAGAATTTTCTTCAAATAAAGGCTCCTGCCTGAATTGTGCCAGCAACTTCTAAAAAGTCTGGTATCTTGGGATTATATTATTTATTATATTAATGTGATTATTTTACTAGGGTCGCTAGCTTTTAATTTCCGAAAAGAATACATGAAAATTTGATGATTAATGATTATGCGTTGTTCTCCTATCTATCAACTATTGGAGTCTTCAATATACATACCATCGCCTGAAAAATCATCCCTGCTCCTGTCGCAATTCTTCTCCAACTGGATGATTTTGAAGTTACAATATTATCAAAACAAAAATTTATTAGCACATAAGGGCTTTAAAAATATAGATTTGTAAAAGACCTGACTTTTGTGGTTTAAGGATTCTGATCGCAACTTTTGAAACTGCCTCTGTAAACTGTAAACACGGCAAGAAAATAATTTAGCCTTATGTACATATGTAAACTCGATAAGTCGGTTTTGGCCTAACTCGGCCAAAAAGTTTCACCTCTTTTTTTTACTATTTAGAAAAATTCGATAGTCGGTCGATCTATATAAAGTCGCGATAAGTGCTAATATTAAGTTGGTCAATCACTTGACCCAAGTATAATTAAATGAATCACGATAAGTCGGTCTCACGTGATATTTCATTATGTGAAGGGTCATCATTACTATTTTAGTAATGTGTGATTTAATAATTTTTTATTTGTAATAAAATATCTGATGTTAATATTTTATTATCTCAGCAGTTGTACCTATCATAAAATAATATAACATTTGACCATATTGAGATATATCAAAACATCTTTTTTCCTTATTGTATTCAGAGCTTTATCATCCCTGTTGGCCATGTCCATATTCAATGTTCACTAATCAAGTAGTGATGTTAGCCGTTTAAAAATCCTTAGCCTGCTAAGCCGTTACTACCTAAATTGGTAATTCTATTTCTATAACCAGAAGGTAATACGGAAATCTATTACCAAATTTAGAAATTATGTATGCAGATTATTAGCCGGCTAACATCACTACTTAAATCATTTAAAAGAGATCCATTAGTTGACAATAATAATACCTGTTCCGATCCTTCTTTAGCACATAATAATAAAAGTAAGTTATATCATTTTCTAAACTTGGGTGATGTTAGCCGGCTTAGCCGCCTAAAAAAAAAATTTCTTAACATTCATTTTTACGTCTGGAATCTTAGTGCAGAATTCAATGGCATGGACATTTAGTTGATATGGGTCCACCTAAATTACTTAGAATGACAAAAAAAACATACATTTGCTCAAAAAGCAATATCATAGCAGGATAAAAATCATATTTTAATTCGAATTATTCGTTCTATTCGAATTATTCGTTCTATTCGAATTATTCGTTCTATTCGAATTATTTGTTCTATTCGTATTATTCTTTTTATTTGAATTATTCGTTTGATTTGAATTATTCGTTTTATTCGTTTATTCGAATAAAACTTTTAATATAATTCGAATACTCAAATTCATAATGAATAAAACAAATAATTTGAACCATTAAAGGCGAAATATTATAGTAAAAATAGTAAATAATCGTAATAATAATAACGATAGTAGTAGTAATAATAATACCGGAAAGCTTAGTATTAGTACCAGCGATTTATTTTGATCAAGCCATTTGCTAAGCGATCAAGTTATTTGCTAAGCGATCTATTTGATCAAGTCATTTCCTAAGCGATTTATTTGGCTAAGCCATTCATTGTTCGCATTACTACACTTAGTCACACGGGGATGCGAAAGAAATGAAATAAGAAATATAATAAATAAATAAAGATATAAATAAAGTAAATAGAAATCAGCTTTAATCTTAATTCCAATAAATAACTGCATACAATTTGAAAAACAAAATTCGCTTTCATTTTTTTTATAAATACTCTTACAATAATCCCATACAATTTGAAAATCAAGAAAAAGTGAAAACTTGACAAAAATTATCTGAATAAATCAAAATGAATTTCAATATTTCTCTTCTCTTTTTGATTATCTTTGCTGTTGTAGCTTTAGCAAGCCCAATTCATAACAATAATTTGGTGAAGCGAGGTATTTCATTTATTATTATATTTACTATTACAATAATATATTGTTTTTGAAAAAATACTAACTGTTGGCTTTCATTTTATTTTAAATAATAAATAGGCCCGTAAGTATTTTTGCACTATTATTACACTCAATATCATTGTTTTGAAAAAATATTAATTATTGGTTTTCATTTTATTCTAAATAATAAATAGTGGTGTAAGTATTTTTGTACTATTATTACAGTCAATATCATTGTTTTTGAAAACATATTAACTGTTGGTTTTCATTTTATTTTTAAATAATAAATAGTGTGTGAGTGTTTTTATCATTTCATTATTAATATCATTGATTTTTTGAAAATATTAACTGTTGATTTTCATTTTATCTTAAATAATGAATAGAATGTGAGTATTCTCATCATTTCACTATTATTACAGTCAATAACATTGTTTTTGAAAAAATATTAACTGTTTGATTTTTGCTTTATCTTAAATAATAAATATAGGAAGTAAGTATTTCCATCATTTTACTATTATTACAATCAATATCATTGTTTTTGAAAAATATTAACTGTTAATTTTCATTTTATTTTAAATAATAAATAGCCCGTAAGTATTTTTATCATTTCACAGTCAATATCATTGTTTTTGAAAACATATTAACTGTTGATTTTCGTTTTATCTTAAATAATAATAAATAGAGTGTAAGTATTCTCATCATTTACTATTGTGACAGTCAATATCATTGTTTTTGAAAACATATTAACTGTTAATTTTTGTTTTATTTTAAATAATAAATAGTGTGTGGGTATTTTTATCATTTCATTATTATTACAGTCAATATCATTGTTTTTGAAAAAATACTAACTGTTGATTTTCATTTTATTTTAAATAATGGGTAGTGGGTAAGTATTTTCATCATTTCACTATTGTTACAGTCAATATCATTGTTTTTGAAAACATACTAACTGTTGATTTTCATTTTATTTTAAATAATAAATAGCAAGTAAGTATTCTCATCATTTTACTATTATTACACTCAATATCATTGTTTTTGAAAACATACTAACTGTTGATTTTTGTAAATAATGGGTAGCGGGTAAGTATTTTTATCATTTCATTATTATTACAGTCAATATCATTGTTTTTGAAAAAATACTAACTGTTGATTTTCATTGTATTTTAAATAATAAATAGCCTGTAAGTATTATTATCATTTCACTATTGTTACAGTCAATATCATTGTTTTTGAAAACATATTAACTGTTGATTTTCATTTTATTTTAAATAATGGGTAGCCTGTAAGTATTTTCATCATTTCACTATTGTTAAAGTCAATATCATTGTTTTGAAAAAATACTAACTGTTGATTTTCATTTTATTTTAAATAATGGGTAGCGGGTAAGTATTCTCATCATTTCACTATTGTTACAGTCAATATCATTGTTTTTGAAAACATACTAACTGTTGATTTTGTTTTATCTTAAATAATGGGTAGTGGGTAAGTATTTTTATTGTTTGCTATTATTACAGTTGAAAAATATTAACTGTTTGGTTTTCATTTTATTTTAAATAATGAATACAGGATGTAAGTATTCTCATCATTTCACTATTGTTACCATTGTTTTTGTAAACATATTAACTGTTGGTTGATTTTCATTTTATTTTAAATAGAAATAGAGTAAATAAAAGCTGTATTTGCTCTTTGGCTCTTTGATAACTTCATTTATCTCTTTAACTTTTTTTACTTTCATCTTATATTTATCTTTATTTTTTATTGTTGTTTATAATTTTTACGTTGCTTAAGATTCATGCAAACTATAATGTTTATATTATAACATAGGAAGCGAGAATAAATATAAACAGTTCATACACAATAAGTGTTTATTATAATTTGAAAAGATTTATATGTGTCAATTTAAATGGGAATGAAAATGAATAAAGTTACATCCAGTGTGCGGGCGCGCGTGTTACATTAAGGGTGGCCAATAATCTATTATGGTGCATGTCCATCTATAAATGTCAATAGTAATACATATCTAAACTCGATAATTCGGACATTTATTCATATTATAAAGTACTTTAAATAATTGATTGCTGCATCCGACTTATCGAATTTAGATGTAGATTTTTCCAATATTTTTTATATTATGCAAAGTGCAAAGAAAATTTTGTACATACAGTCAAAGCTCTCTATAACGAACCTCCAAAAACCCGAACTGCTCTCTATAATGAACTAAGGTGTTGGTCCCGATTTTTTGTTAATTAATTTTGCTCTGTATAACGAACTTTATAATTAAATTCTTTATTCTGTATAATGAACTGCTTTTGAAAAATCATATGACAAATTTAAATATAAAATGGCGCTCTCTATACCGAACACAAAAATTGACATAAAAAAAAATTTATTATTATTATTATTTGATACAAAGTATATTATACCGATTTCTTTCTTTAACTATAACGAAATACAAGCGATAAGAATACAATTGTTTATTAATTGATTGTTTACACACTACGTCTCTTTTGTTAAATCATTAATAAAAATAAAGAAAATAAATTAAAATACCAATTTTAGTTAAATATATAAAATATCCGTGTGCATTTTTTTTTTTAAAAAATATATTTTAAAATTCAATCAAATGTCAACTAAAAGAATAACTACTTTGACAGCTTTACAAAAGAAAGAAATATGTTTGTCGAAACAAAGGGATTCGAATATTTCTAACGTTGAACTTGCAGATATTTATAATGTTGGAAAATCTACAGTAACTGAGATTTTAAAAGAGGTTAATGTGCAATTTTCATAATTATATTACGATCACATGACTATAAACGTGATGATTGATCGACACTTTCTTTATTATTATTATTATACAGTGAACCCTTGTTTCAACGAGGTATAATTAAATTTTTGATACAACGAATTTTTTAAAAACGTTGTTACACATTATGAAAACATGTAAAATTCGTTGAAACGCGATTAGTAACCTTGTTTCAACGAATGTTGAATAAAATTTTCTTATATGTCCAGCAACTTCGTTGAAACAAGGGCAGACTGTATAGTGAACGCTCTCTACAACGAACCCCCTGTCCCGAGAATTTTTGTTCGTTATAGAGAGTTTTGACTGTATTCTAATTCAATTGAGGCCACATTTTTCACAACATAATAATAAAAAAGATCAACGATCGATTTTGTCACATGTGATAAAACGAATGTCCACTATGCTCAAGTTCACATAGGCTTCATTTTCACGCACAACAGTTCTAAATAATTCAATTATGAAAAAGTAACCTGGTATGTGGCGTATCACGAATAACTTTACAATGTTTGAATTTTCGCCATTTGCTCTAAATAAGTCGCCTTTATGATACTAATAAATCCGAGTATGAAACTTGTGCATATGACATTCAAAAAATAACATTGTTATGCCAAGATCTCATTGGATCTCAAAAAATGTGTTTATTATATATTATAATATTAATAAAAATGTTCAAATGAACATTACACACAATAGTAACAGGCTATTTATAGAGTGATATAAAAAAAAATATATTTATACAGTTTCTTTAAAGATTATCAGGACGAACCCATTCACTTTTAAGTCGTTCTCTCAAATCTTTTCTCAAAATTTTGCCGGAAGCGCTTTTAGGTATCTTATCAATAATGTAGACACCACCACGTAGTCGCATATGGTGAGCAACTTTTTCAGCCACGTAATCTTGAATGGATTTTTTAATTTGTTGGTGATCACTGGCGGCTGGATTTACTAGTTCGACATAAGCAACTGGTAATTCTGTAGCGTCTTGTTCTGAATATATGCCAACTACACCTGCATCGGAAATTATAGGGTTGGAAAGTAGAACTGATTCAAGTTCTGCAGGTGCAACTTGATGGCCCTAAAAAAATTTGAGGTGATGATGAAAGGTGATGGTGATGAATAAGGGGATGAGGAATCAATTGATTAAAATTTATTTTAATTAACAAGTAAAAAAAAGAAAGATTGCAGACCTTATACTTGATAAGTTCTTTTACACGATCAACCAAGAAAACATTCCCTTTTTACAATAATAATAATAAACATGTCAATTAAAAATAAAAGAAAATATTTTACATAACATTATATGATAAATAACAATTTACCATTTTCATCAATATAACCAAGATCTCCAGTATGAAAAAATCCATCTTTATCCATACATTCTTTAGTGGCTTTTTCATTATTAAGATAACCCTATTTTTTTGGAGGCTTTAGTCAAAGTAAATTAATTAACAATATTCATATATATATATATATGTATATGATTGGTACCTTCATGATGTTTGGACCACGAGCACATATTTCACCTTCTTCATTAACTCCAAGTTCTATCAAAAAAATTAATTATTTAGTTTTGAAGAATTAAATTAAATTATTGTTATTACTTCTTATTACCTTTTCCATTTTCATCAATAAATTTTATCTCAACATTTGCTATAATAATTCCAGATGACCCTAAAAAAGAAAATATTATTATTTATTTCTTTTTTTCTGATGAAATAATTCAAAACATAATTTTTTATATTACCAATTACAACATCATCAGTTTTACCCAATGTAAGCACTGGTGTAGTTTCAGTAAGTCCATAACCTTGCTTAAGAGGTATTTTCTTGAATTTGTCGTTGAACATCTTACTCAACTCTTTGCTCAATGGAGCAGCACCGCTTACAATAAATTTTAAACTTGATAAATCATATTTGTCAACAACTGGGTTTTTAACCAGTTGAAGCAAAATCGGCGGAACTATATATCCAAGATTTATTTTATAATCTTGTATTGTTTGACAAAATGAATTTATATCAAATTTTGATAAAAGTATTGCTGACGCTCCCTATTATTTATAATAAAAAAGTTTCATGAGAAGGAAGTTTTTTTAAAGAAACAAAATATTTTATTGAAAACTTACACTATAAGCTACTTGATGCAGAGTAATGTTCAATGCATATATATGAAAAAGTGGCTGTAATGAAATAAGATAAAATATCATCATCAAACTCATAATCACGATTATGATAAATCATGAATCACAATCATCGTAATTATTATTATCCAATCTCACCAATATTCCCAAGAAGACAAGATCAGGAGTGAATTTCTCGAAATGATATACTTGTTCAAGATTAGCAATCATATTATAATGTGTGGTCTCAACACCTTTTTGTCTGCCAGTTGTACCAGAACTATAACACAAATAGGCAGTAGTTGATTTGACTTTTTCTTCGGTTGTATAATGAATAATTGCTGAATCATCATCATCCTTGTATAGACTGGTGAATGGTTTAATGCCATTTTCAAGGTCTTCCTTTTCATCAAATACAAAGATCCTGGAAGTTGGTATTTTTACATTTTTTGCAGCTTCCAATACAGTAGGTAATAGTAATGGATGTGCAATGATGACTGATGCTCTGGAGTCGGATAGTTGATGTGTTAATTCATGAGCTTTATAACCAGAATTAGCTAATGTAACAATTCCACCTGAAAAAAAAAAATTTTGCAAAAAATTGAAAATTTTTTTGTGGACAATAAATAAACTAGTTATTGATTAATTAATTAAATACCAGATGCAATGACTCCAAATAACGCAATAGGATAATGGATGTGATTCAGGGAAACAATTGCCAAAACTTCTCCAGGTTTAAATCCAATTGATTTTAATCCACTGGCAACCTTTCGAGTATAACTTTTAAATTCACCAAAAGTGATTTTTTCGTTAGTCAACCCATCAATGAAAATTGGTTTAGTATCAGGAATGGAATTAGGATTACTGGTCACATGATGATAAACATCAACATATGGGATTTTTAGATCAGGGAGTTTAGATTTAAATATAACCATATTTTTGTTGTTGGTTTAGATTTGTTAAATTTTGTATATATTTATTTTTTAAAAAAAAAAAAAAAAAAAAATGATAATATTGACATTATATATATATATTAAATTTTCCTAGAATCTAGAATATAAGCGGAGAAAAAAACCGGTTTTTCCATAAAAAGGATGACAATAACGGATCTCGCTTTAAAATTTACAGTGTTTATTATTATTAAGTTATTATATATATGTGTGTGTGTGTACACACATGTATATATATATCTATTAATACTACTATATAATAATATACAAAAAAAAAAAAAGAATATTCTATTTATAATATTAATTAATTACAATGATAATTATAATATGATAACAATAATATTATATTAATACGCAGACGTCTCATTAACGGAATCTAAAGATTCAATTGAAGAAGATGAAAGAGTTCTTTGGTGATGTCGATTATGTTGATGTAGATGAATATTGATTGTATTTTGTGATAAAGATGATGATGTTGTTGTTGGAGCATGTAATAAATCATTACCATAGCTATTTTTGTAACTATTATTAATTTTGTTAATGTCAACATTATTATTATTGTTATTAATGTTATAATTGATCAGTGTAGTTGAACTAGATCTATTATGAGATGATTTATTGATTATTGGAGGATGTAATATGGTAATCATTGAAGGCGATGAAGAAGAAGAATAGTGGTGTTGTTGTTGTTGTGATTGTTGTGATTTAATTGATTCTTTTAGTTGACTTTTTCGTAGTTTTTGTTGTTTTAATCGAGATTTTTGTTGTTTGTCAAGTAGGAAACTACGTACAAACCATTTCATAAATTTACTCTTACTTAGGATTGGTGATGATGATTTTTGTAGTGGTGTTATTGGGGGTAATGTTAATGATGAATTTCTAAAAGTTCTATTAAGGTTGGTGTTAGGTGGTGCAATTGAAATTTCAGTTAATATTGGTGATGATTGGGGTTGAATTTTATTATTATTAAAATTATTATTAATGTTGTTGTTAATGTTGTCATTATTATTAGTGATATTACCAATACTATTAAAAGATGCAGCTGTCGTTGCAGTTGCTGGTGTATTTGACGGAAACCTAAATTCTGATGGTGACAATGGTGGACTATTTAAAGAGACAGTTGCTTTGCTATTATCGTCGTCGAACGGCTTCACAAAGCCATAACTATCCACCAAAACTCTTTTATACCTTCTAAAACCATTATGTAAAGCTGGATCGAATACGAATGCAAAAAAATTAAAAATTCCAGGAGAACATGTTCCAATAATTGACCAAAAAATTATAGCCTGAGGCTCGGTTCGATTTTTTTTGTGCACTGAAGTATAAATAAGTTCCACCAAGATACCGCTTACATTGAGCAAAGGTATTAACGCATAAAGAGAAATACGACTAACCAATTTTAACAATAATAATTTTTTGTGTCTGGCTTTTACTGATAAGGTTTTATTGCTTTTTGAAGATTGTATGACTTCTGCCAATTGACGATGTTCAAAGATCAATTTACACACCACAATCATCAAAACCGTTGTACAATAAATCATTGATATTGTTATTGGAATGAAAAATGTTAAAATTGACCACCATCTTGTTGCCTCGGAATAACCTTCTCTGTATAAACAATCAATGACATCAATGTCAAAGCCAAATCTATTATAGACTAGCGGTGGTATGTTTATAATTAATGCTGTTAGAAACGCTACCGGAACATACCATCTATCTGAAAATCTTGAAACTTTTCTTCTGTGAAGAAAAACAACCTGCAATCACCAAGAAAATAAATTTTTTTGCTATTAATAATTTGTAATAATACTAAAAAATCAATATTTACGCTAACAATAATTCTAATTACCTGTAGATTGAATGCAATCATAACAGTTAGAAATAAATATAACTGAGGGAAAAAACTCATTCCAAATCCAATAGCAGTGCATAATGTACCATCTACAGGAATCCATAGCGTGTACGCCAACACAGTTCCACCATTTAACATATCCACAAAGGAAATCATTGCAGTCAACCTCAATGATACACGATCGACCAACTTTCTATCATAAAGCCACATAATGGTCATGATAAATAATACCAAGAAACCACATGAAATACTTATAATGCTTAGATAAAAATTTAATTTGTCGTAAGTTGCTTCTAATCGAAAATGTTCAATGTCCTGTGTAAACTCTGGATTCACACCGTAATCTACGTAAGGGGCATTTGGATCAGTGTTTGGGTCATAACTAGTATCATTACTCATTATGAATAATAAATATGAGTAACTAAATTATTTCTTCTTTTTCTTCTTTTCATAAACAAAAAAAATAAATATAATTGATATTATTTTACGATTATATTTATATGATGACAAAATAATGATTATGGTAATAAAAATTTAAAGTAGAATTGAAGTGATTTGACCTGCAATAAGGTGAAGAAAGAAGAAAGGGGAATCGGTGGGAAAAAAAGAATGTGTTGTATTTATAGTAAAATTTTTTTTGCAATTACTTTTTCTTTTTAATTTTATTAAAGCTTGTTTACTAAAAAAGAAAAAAGAAAAAGGTTGCGAAAAAAAAAACAAAAAACCAAAAAATAAAAAAAAAATTTTGATGCGGTTTTTTTTCATATTATAATGGTTTTTATTTATACATCTTGTTATATTATTCTAGTTCACACATTGTTGATTTATACAAATAACAATTGAAAAATAATATTAATATATTTATTTAAATTGACCTAAATAATCGACATTTATGTATTATATTAAATCTATCAAACTTTTTTGGCAAACAATGAGGGTTCTTTCTTTTACCGATTTGGAATCCACAGTTAGAAGTTACACAAACTTAAAAAAACCTCATTTTTTGGTGACATTGTTTGGATCAATATTACAATATATATTGTATGCGGTTTAAAAATATAATATGTTCTCATACAAATGAGTTTTTTTTATCGACAACAGCAAAACTAAAAAAATAGACACACATTCAAAATTAAATGCATAAAATAATCATTTGTCCTAATTTATTAATTAGCCGATAATGCGCAAATTGTTATTTTATTTATTTAAAACTATTACTTTATTTGGGAATCGTTAGTTCAATGGTGCATTGATATGATAAAAAAGAGAGATATAATGAAAAAATTCTATCCTACCAATCAAGTTGTACTGTAACCAGCAACAACACAACAGATGCTACAGATAGGTAGAATGAAAAAGTAAAATAAGGCAATTAGAATGAAGTAAAAGTCGTGTTGTCATTTAGATGAGATAATGCAAATCATAATGTTATTACCCGGGTGTTTAAGAAATTAATCAAAATTCCCTGTTATAAGGTGTGAAATGATCGTAATAGTGATTGGTTTACGGGATATGATCGGTTTACGAATGTTTCAATATTATCCGGTTATAACATTTACAATATGCAATTTTTCGTAAAACAATGTTAATATTTGTGATATCTTATTAAAAAAACCTTGGCATTCACAGTATCAATTATGCTATTCATAGTTAGTCTTTTTTTATCATTTAATTTTAAATTAATATTACAAAAATCGTCAACCTTATCAGATAAATCGAACCGCCCAATTAAGTTTATAATGATGTGAAACTTTAACAAAGAAAATTCGTTTGCCTATGTTCAATGAACAATAGCAATATTAAGTGTTAACACAACAATGATACGAACAAAAAACGGTTATTTATATCATTATTCTTCATTTTACTCATCAAAAAATAAATAAATAAATAATTTATAGAGTGGTTTCTATTATTTTCCTAGAAAAGAACTTAGAAAGTCAAAACTAGGTATCAATTGGTGGAAAATTAATTAGTTTAAATAAGAATCAAAAAGAAAAATATTTCGTGGAAAGACTTTTTGGTTAATTACTGCGGGCTAATATACGTGTGTATCACGAAATCCTATCTATGGCGTTGAGGATTATGTGTGTATATATATATATATAAGGACATGGATTTGATGTATAAAACAATAAATTTTAATATATATCATCGCATATTGATTTGAACCATTTTTCTTAGGTTAATCCAAAATGGTGGATAGTTGCAATTCGTATGGTGTATAGTGTTATTAGATTAGAAATCCAATTGCATCGAGAAAGGGAAGTGGGAATTTAATATAGGCATTGTAAATGAATCATCTAATGAATGTACCTGAAAACAACATTCATATTAATATAGAGAATACAGATATTGAAAATGATTTAATTTATACTGGAAACAATGATGCCTTAAATAAAGTAAAATATAGGCATCAATGTAATCCATTATGACTTGTCAATTTAAAAGAACAAAAAAGACCAATCACAAATCACATATTTGTATAAAATAAAGAAAATAATAAAAAAATACTTCTGCCGAATCTTATTTGCCTAGAAAAGTTAGAGCTAACCAACTATATGATCAATCTGTTTTTTATTATATGTATTTATGTTTTGTTAAAAAAAAAAATCCGTATATTTGTCATCGGAATTTCCAGTACTAGTACTAATCGTTAAAATGTTGACTAAAGGTAGTTTTTTACCAAGGGTTATTTTGATGATTTAGTCAAAGTATAAATCCTAGACGGAAGTAAAATCTTATTTTTTTTCCTTTATCTAATCTAATATTTAATTTGACCTAGATTGCTTTACATCCCATCAATTCTAGATAAAAAGGTAATTGCCATTGTAATTAGAGTGTGTATAGCATATGAACTATATCTGAATACATCATATGACCATCCCTATCGATGAAAGCATATTGAGCATACTTAGAATTAAGCAGAGCAAGTTCTTTAAAAAATGTTTTGTTTGAATATGAGAGATCGGAGAAAGTTAGTTAATCATGATGGATTGGAAATTTAATGTAAAATGTACTTTTTAATTAAAAAAAAAAACATACTAGACGAAATAAAATGAAGAATCTTTATATATTTATTTCAACCAATTTGTTGACTTCATTGTTCAAAATATGCTTTTGAGCGTCAAATTTATTTGTTCAATATTTCGTTGTTCATTCATACATACTAGATCCTGTTTTTTGTTACGATTGGTTTATTTTGATTCAAAATTAAGTAAAACAACAACATCATCCTGATAAATGGCATTATTAATAAATGGCCATTGCATTATATCACTCAAGTCTCGAGGGTCACATACACCTTAGCCTTTTTCTTGCGAAATTGATGGCTAGAATAAAGTATTTATAAAATATTTGTCAAATAATTAATAATTATAATATTATTAACAAATTATTGCATCGCTTACTGTTCCTGATTATATATTAACAATCATAAATTCAAACTATTTGTATCCGCTTCCTTGATAAAATAAATTGAGAGAGATCATTTGTAATAATCATTATCATTGTAGAATCGTTCTTGAACAATTAACTAACAATTGAAACCATTTTGTGGTAATCTGGTCAATCAAAATTCTTTTCGATGCCATCCATAATTTGTTGACCGTTGTTGGTTTAACTGTTGCTTTAGTTGCTCCCAGTATAACTTGAGCAATTGTGCTATAATCGAGGCAGTGTTAAAATTCTATTCATAAATACTTGTCTCTCAGCATATAAATTCAAACATGCTGCCTTCATGCCTTATTTTTGTAAATATTCATCTTGCAACTCCCTATATACTGTCAATGAACCGCAGAGTGAGGTCTGATTACAAATTGCGATCCATATTCGTATAGTTGTTTTTTTTCTTTTCTCGTTAAATCAGGAGAATATATTACCATTTAAAAAAATTGAAGCTTTGTTGATAATTAATTATATAGAAACGAAGTTGTTTCAGATATGAATAACTTAAAGAGACAATGTGAACTTTAAATATTCATCATGACATGATAATTGCGAAAACATGAATTCATCTTCAATTGGTAAGACCTGGTGTAAACAGTTCTAGTAGCTTTAGAAAATTTTACATAAATAAATTTTCAGCTGCGAATAAAAGGTAGAGGTGTTTTTATTTTTAGTATATACATTCTTTAAAAAGACAGTTCTTTAAAAAATAGATATTTGGGGAGCGATAAGCGAAAATACAGGAGACGAGGTTCTTGACAATGAACAACGATTGAAAAGAATCAGGAGTTCAATAAAATTGAGGTAAGCCTATCTATTTAGAACTTCGAATCAGTTATAATAAATTTGTTATCGTTATTTTTTTAAATAATTTAATAAATTCTTCTTGAAGTTGATTGTATTGTTATGTCCAAAATCAAGGGATCTGAAAATAATGAGGATGATGAAAATGGATGGTATTTATAAAGTTTTAACTGAATTCAATCCGAAAGATGTGATTTTCGGTTTAGTTTCGATTTTTCAAGAGCACTAGAAAAGATGAAAGAAATTGCGCCAAAATTGAGTTACAAGTTGTTTTCATTCCAGCCTAGCGCACTCATTCATACTATATTCAAATATTGTAGGAGAAATTAGATAATAAATTATATTTGCAAAAAAAAACCACAAAAAGGAATGTTGTCATAAAAAATTAATTTTTTTTAAAATAAATATTAAAAAGTTAAAACGTCCTTTAATAATTTATATAAGTTATTAGCATCAGACAGAAAAGAATTAGCAATTAAAATTTATAATGAAATGCATAGTATTGCTTATTCTGCTTTTCCGGTTGTTGCTGACAATGAAAATTATAAAAGTTATTTTTTACAATTAGTCAAAGAAAACAAAGAACTATTAGAAAATGAAAAGGAATATTGTAGCAAAAGGTTTGTTTATAATTTCGAATTAAACAATGCAATTCATAAACTTGGTAAACCAAGAGAATGCAATAATTGTAAAGCAGAAAGATACTCTGATAAATATTGTGAAAAGTGTGTTAGTCTACACTTACAGAGCCTTTTTAGTACTTGGACATCTGGAAATGAGATAATTGATAGTTTTATTCAAGAATGTCAACAGCTTTCATCTCTTCCGCAGCATATTATAGAATGGATACCTTATGAGCAATTTTATGATATAAAAAAGTTAACAGAGGGTGGATTCAGTTCTATTTATACTGCTACATGGACAAGAGGATCTATTGATGATTATGGTGAAAATAAAAAGGAGTTTAATTATTTTGGAGTTGAGCAAGTAGTATTAAAATCATTAAATAATTCAAGTAATCCAGGAAAACCTTTTTTTGATGAGGTAATTGTTCTTATTTAAAATAAACTAAATTAGATTGTATTTTATGTGTAAATTATTATTAATCATCATCTCATTTTTTTTTTTTTTCTTCTAAAAAAAGTAAATATCACTCAACTGTAAAAATAATAACTAAAAAACTCGTTTTAGCATGAATTTAATTAAACAATGTTGGTTTAACTTTTAGGGCATTTACCTAATAAGATACAAGGATTTTTACAACCGTCATTATATCATTGTAAAATTGTTAATGCGGTTGGAATATCTTCCACTTGGTTGTGCTCAAAAAGATAATGATGAATGAACCTGAAAGTGCCTTTATTGTATTGTCAAGCTTTTTTATAAAAATATTTTAGATTTTAAATTTTAATCTCTATTTGGACGCAGCTTTAAAAATCAATCAGTTGGGTGGTTTATAAAAGATTTTTTTACATTACAATGATAATAAAATAACAATTACTATTTCTTATATGGTAGGTGTACCGCAGAAATAGGTTCCATACATAATAAATCTTCTCCTTTTGTCCAATGAAAATGGGTGGCATCGAAGAAGGTCTCGTTGAACTCAAAAATTTGAACTAATGCTGAAAAAAGAGCAAACGAAAATCATAAAAAGATTTTAGAATAATTAGCTAAAAATAATTTACAAATAAAATATGCTTTAAAATGTTGTTTTTTTTTTATTGCAAGATAACGTTTGAGATAAAGAGCTGTTTGAACAGGCTATATATACAATCAAATAAGAATATTAATTCATGGATTTTTCACATATATTTTTTATTATATATTACGAAATGATTGCATCATGTATATAGAGTATTAACTTGACATAATTGCTCCCATTTTCTTTTTTTTTAATGGGCTGAGGTTTTAAACAAATATATGTTTTAAATGATTATCTCTATAAAATCCACCGAATCCAAGAATTGGAGCATGATTAAAAGTATTTTAAAAAGAGAACATACTCGCCCTATGTATTTAAATCAGCTGATATTCGGTCACTTGAATATTATCAAGAAATTTCCCAGTAAAGAAAAAAACCCTGAGAAGTTGCCTAATAAGAAAATAATATGTGACAGAAGTTAATAATAGACAATTATGTTTTGTTGTCTTTTTTAATCCTTTTACCAACATAAATGATAATAACTATTGTACAAATATAGTTTTTCCTTTTTTGGATATTTTTTGATAATTAATATCATTTTTACTTATTTCAAATATCAAGATAGCTTACCATATAATAAGTCAAGGTACAATGAAAACTATGAGTTTGCGCGCAATACTTGCCATTTTAGTCATTATTATTATTTATTATTTGCCATTGCAATGTACAATTATTAATTATTAGTTTCTCGGACATTTGCGCCAAATTTTCTGTTTGGTTGAAATTTGTAAAGATCTCGGCCAATAATTTACTCTTTGATAAAAATTTTTAATTGGACCTTCACCATTACGTGTCACGCGAACCTGTGATTTATCAAGTTTTTCGAAATCAACAAAATTTCAGGTTCACTAATAATATCACCAATTACTGAGCCCAAACTAAATTTGGGGATCTTATTGGAGATTACGGTAAAGTTTTTATTAAATGTCTAGAGGGTCTTTTCATCGGGTGGAAATTCAACGCCGTTTGTACGTCCGAATAGACCAGCTGATTCGCCTATATCATTTATAATATCATCATCATCTATCAATGTTCATGTGTTATATAAATGGACCTTTCCATCTGGAACGCGGTCCACTTTGGTAATGCTAAATTATTTGATTGCATCATTCTTTTTAACCTTGGCAATAAACAGAGATATTGATACGATCGTTTGTCTTAGAGTAGCTGAAAACTCTAGTAGTAGCAAGCATTACACAGAATAATTATATATTAATATACGGATTATTGTATTTATTTCTATGTAACATCTCTGTGCTAATAATACCAATTAAAGCTCCTCACGAGCTGGCTTGCGAGCCAAAAAACTTATTCAGCTTGTGAGGCTACTAAGTTATTTGGCTTGCGAGCTGGCTCATGCGGAGCCTTAATACCAATATTTATTTACAAAAGTTTTAGAATAATAATATGGACATGGATAATTTCTACGATGGATTACCTCAGGTCCTGAAGAAATGCGACTTCACTGAGGTTTAAAAAAAAATTCTGGGCTAAAGATCTTGATCAGAGACATTTGAATATTTAACAAGATGTATTGGAGCTGTTATTTATTAACAAAACCCCCTGGCAAAGAAAAATTCTTTAAAGAATCTGAAAAATAGTAATTTTGTAACTTTTATTATAAAAGAAAGTCATCAAAAAAGTAAACTAAATTGTTGATGAATTCTTTATGAGAGTAAATTTACAATAAAGTACAGCACTCATTATATTTACACTCATTTCATTTCGTACAAAATAACAATATTTCATAAAGTAGAAAACCCATGTGGATAAGAAAATATTTGCTGCAAAAATAGCCAAGTAAACAAATTGCTGAAACTTATCATGAAGAGATCGATAATCTTTTCACCATTCTACAATATTGTCATATCCACCATTATATCAAGACAATCCTTACACCACTTTGACAAATTTATTGAATCGCACGTAGTGCCAGCAATAATAGAAAAAGCACCCATTTTTAGATGTATGATACCAGAGTATATAAAATTCATCATACAGCTAGTAAAAGTTTAGAAACTAGTTTACAAATTTAGAACACCCAACATTCTCGGCAAAGAAATGGAATCTGATCCAGGTTCATTGGATCTAAAATTCTTAGAATCTGAATCTAGATCCTTTAAATTTATAATAAACTTGTTATTATTAATTTGTCAGTTAAATTTGTGTCAATCATATTGTAATAATATTGTTTTTTGACATGGTCGGAATTAGCATACAACATCAGGAAAATTATGTATTAATTATCCAATTATGAAACATGCGATTCTGAATTCGATAATAAAAAAATAAAAAAATAAAAAAATATGAAAACAAAGAAAAATAACTAATTATCTAACCATCAACAATTTATCCATAAACTACTTATTATCATTGTAATTAATTAATTAATTAATAATCACATTCAAATTAATAAATTTCAATTAATTAACTATTTAATTTACCTTATTAAAATTATATTTCATAATTTAATAAGCTATCATTACTTAAATTCAATTTAGCAATTTCATCATTTAAATTTAATATTCTACTTGAATGATATGCTAATGGATGTGATTTGTGAACACTTTGTGAATTACTAATACTACTATTATTATCACTATTATTGTTGATAATTTCTTGTAGTTGACTATTAGCAAAGTCACAAAGCTCTCTAATAGTTGGTCTTTTAGATGGATCCCCATCCCAACACTTCTGCATCATTTGTACACAATCATCAGGCATTCCTGGTAATATTGGTGGACGTAAACCTTCACATATTTTTAATTGCAAACAAAAATCATGTGCTGTATCATCAAATGGTGGATGACCTGCAAATATTTCCCACATTAACATCCCAACACTATAAACATCTGTTTCTTTTGTGTATTTTTTTCCTCTAAGTAGCTCAGGTGCAATATAAGATATAATTCCATAAATTTTATTTGTTAATTTTTCATCAACTGGTCCACATAACCCAAAATCTGTGATAAAACAACTACCTCCTTGTAATCACAATGAATTAAATCTTTTTCATGTATAAAATATAATGATTCACATAAAAATGTAGAAATATTGATTCTATCTTTTAATGTTAAATTATAATGATTTTTTTGTATATAATCTCTTAAATTTCCCTCTGAATGATAATTAAGAACTATTGCATAATTTCCATTTTCTGGAAATTCAGTTATACCATAACAAGAAACAATTAAATTTGATTTAATTTTACAGTAATTCAATGCCTGAAATTAATAATTAATTATATAAATAAAGTGATTTAATTTAGTTTATTTTAAATAAGAACAATTACCTCATCAAAAAAAGGTTTTCCTGGATTACTTGAATTATTTAATGATTTTAATACTACTTGCTCAACTCCAAAATAATTAAACTCCTTTTTATTTTCACCATAATCATCAATAGATCCTCTTGTCCATGTAGCAGTATAAATAGAACTGAATCCACCCTCTGTTAACTTTTTTATATCATAAAATTGCTCATAAGGTATCCATTCTATAATATGCTGCGGAAGAGATGAAAGCTGTTGACATTCTTGAATAAAACTATCAATTATCTCATTTCCAGATGTCCAAGTACTAAAAAGGCTCTGTAAGTGTAGACTAACACACTTTTCACAATATTTATCAGAGTATCTTTCTGCTTTACAATTATTGCATTCTCTTGGTTTACCAAGTTTATGAATTGCATTGTTTAATTCGAAATTATAAACAAACCTTTTGCTACAATATTCCTTTTCATTTTCTAATAGTTCTTTGTTTTCTTTGACTAATTGTAAAAAATAACTTTTATAATTTTCATTGTCAGCAACAACCGGAAAAGCAGAATAAGCAATACTATGCATTTCATTATAAATTTTAATTGCTAATTCTTTTCTGTCTGATGCTAATAACTTATATAAATTATTAAAGGACGTTTTAACTTTTTAATATTTATTTTAAAAAAAATTAATTTTTTATGACAACATTCCTTTTTGTGGTTTTTTTTTGCAAATATAATTTATTATCTAATTTCTCCTACAATATTTGAATATAGTATGAATGAGTGCGCTAGGCTGGAATGAAAACAACTTGTAACTCAATTTTGGCGCAATTTCTTTCATCTTTTCTAGTGCTCTTGAAAAATCGAAACTAAACCGAAAATCACATCTTTCGGATTGAATTCAGTTAAAACTTTATAAATACCATCCATTTTCATCATCCTCATTATTTTCAGATCCCTTGATTTTGGACATAACAATACAATCAACTTCAAGAAGAATTTATTAAATTATTTAAAAAAATAACGATAACAAATTTATTATAACTGATTCGAAGTTCTAAATAGATAGGCTTACCTCAATTTTATTGAACTCCTGATTCTTTTCAATCGTTGTTCATTGTCAAGAACCTCGTCTCCTGTATTTTCGCTTATCGCTCCCCAAATATCTATTTTTTAAAGAACTGTCTTTTTAAAGAATGTATATACTAAAAATAAAAACACCTCTACCTTTTATTCGCAGCTGAAAATTTATTTATGTAAAATTTTCTAAAGCTACTAGAACTGTTTACACCAGGTCTTACCAATTGAAGATGAATTCATGTTTTCGCAATTATCATGTCATGATGAATATTTAAAGTTCACATTGTCTCTTTAAGTTATTCATATCTGAAACAACTTCGTTTCTATATAATTAATTATCAACAAAGCTTCAATTTTTTTAAATGGTAATATATTCTCCTGATTTAACGAGAAAAGAAAAAAAACAACTATACGAATATGGATCGCAATTTGTAATCAGACCTCACTCTGCGGTTCATTGACAGTATATAGGGAGTTGCAAGATGAATATTTACAAAAATAAGGCATGAAGGCAGCATGTTTGAATTTATATGCTGAGAGACAAGTATTTATGAATAGAATTTTAACACTGCCTCGATTATAGCACAATTGCTCAAGTTATACTGGGAGCAACTAAAGCAACAGTTAAACCAACAACGGTCAACAAATTATGGATGGCATCGAAAAGAATTTTGATTGACCAGATTACCACAAAATGGTTTCAATTGTTAGTTAATTGTTCAAGAACGATTCTACAATGATAATGATTATTACAAATGATCTCTCTCAATTTATTTTATCAAGGAAGCGGATACAAATAGTTTGAATTTATGATTGTTAATATATAATCAGGAACAGTAAGCGATGCAATAATTTGTTAATAATATTATAATTATTAATTATTTGACAAATATTTTATAAATACTTTATTCTAGCCATCAATTTCGCAAGAAAAAGGCTAAGGTGTATGTGACCCTCGAGACTTGAGTGATATAATGCAATGGCCATTTATTAATAATGCCATTTATCAGGATGATGTTGTTGTTTTACTTAATTTTGAATCAAAATAAACCAATCGTAACAAAAAACAGGATCTAGTATGTATGAATGAACAACGAAATATTGAACAAATAAATTTGACGCTCAAAAGCATATTTTGAACAATGAAGTCAACAAATTGGTTGAAATAAATATATAAAGATTCTTCATTTTATTTCGTCTAGTATGTTTTTTTTTTTAATTAAAAAGTACATTTTACATTAAATTTCCAATCCATCATGATTAACTAACTTTCTCCGATCTCTCATATTCAAACAAAACATTTTTTAAAGAACTTGCTCTGCTTAATTCTAAGTATGCTCAATATGCTTTCATCGATAGGGATGGTCATATGATGTATTCAGATATAGTTCATATGCTATACACACTCTAATTACAATGGCAATTACCTTTTTATCTAGAATTGATGGGATGTAAAGCAATCTAGGTCAAATTAAATATTAGATTAGATAAAGGAAAAAAAATAAGATTTTACTTCCGTCTAGGATTTATACTTTGACTAAATCATCAAAATAACCCTTGGTAAAAAACTACCTTTAGTCAACATTTTAACGATTAGTACTAGTACTGGAAATTCCGATGACAAATATACGGATTTTTTTTTTTAACAAAACATAAATACATATAATAAAAAACAGATTGATCATATAGTTGGTTAGCTCTAACTTTTCTAGGCAAATAAGATTCGGCAGAAGTATTTTTTTATTATTTTCTTTATTTTATACAAATATGTGATTTGTGATTGGTCTTTTTTGTTCTTTTAAATTGACAAGTCATAATGGATTACATTGATGCCTATATTTTACTTTATTTAAGGCATCATTGTTTCCAGTATAAATTAAATCATTTTCAATATCTGTATTCTCTATATTAATATGAATGTTGTTTTCAGGTACATTCATTAGATGATTCATTTACAATGCCTATATTAAATTCCCACTTCCCTTTCTCGATGCAATTGGATTTCTAATCTAATAACACTATACACCATACGAATTGCAACTATCCACCATTTTGGATTAACCTAAGAAAAATGGTTCAAATCAATATGCGATGATATATATTAAAATTTATTGTTTTATACATCAAATCCATGTCCTTATATATATATATATACACACATAATCCTCAACGCCATAGATAGGATTTCGTGATACACACGTATATTAGCCCGCAGTAATTAACCAAAAAGTCTTTCCACGAAATATTTTTCTTTTTGATTCTTATTTAAACTAATTAATTTTCCACCAATTGATACCTAGTTTTGACTTTCTAAGTTCTTTTCTAGGAAAATAATAGAAACCACTCTATAAATTATTTATTTATTTATTTTTTGATGAGTAAAATGAAGAATAATGATATAAATAACCGTTTTTTGTTCGTATCATTGTTGTGTTAACACTTAATATTGCTATTGTTCATTGAACATAGGCAAACGAATTTTCTTTGTTAAAGTTTCACATCATTATAAACTTAATTGGGCGGTTCGATTTATCTGATAAGGTTGACGATTTTTGTAATATTAATTTAAAATTAAATGATAAAAAAAGACTAACTATGAATAGCATAATTGATACTGTGAATGCCAAGGTTTTTTTAATAAGATATCACAAATATTAACATTGTTTTACGAAAAATTGCATATTGTAAATGTTATAACCGGATAATATTGAAACATTCGTAAACCGATCATATCCCGTAAACCAATCACTATTACGATCATTTCACACCTTATAACAGGGAATTTTGATTAATTTCTTAAACACCCGGGTAATAACATTATGATTTGCATTATCTCATCTAAATGACAACACGACTTTTACTTCATTCTAATTGCCTTATTTTACTTTTTCATTCTACCTATCTGTAGCATCTGTTGTGTTGTTGCTGGTTACAGTACAACTTGATTGGTAGGATAGAATTTTTTCATTATATCTCTCTTTTTTATCATATCAATGCACCATTGAACTAACGATTCCCAAATAAAGTAATAGTTTTAAATAAATAAAATAACAATTTGCGCATTATCGGCTAATTAATAAATTAGGACAAATGATTATTTTATGCATTTAATTTTGAATGTGTGTCTATTTTTTTAGTTTTGCTGTTGTCGATAAAAAAAACTCATTTGTATGAGAACATATTATATTTTTAAACCGCATACAATATATATTGTAATATTGATCCAAACAATGTCACCAAAAAATGAGGTTTTTTTAAGTTTGTGTAACTTCTAACTGTGGATTCCAAATCGGTAAAAGAAAGAACCCTCATTGTTTGCCAAAAAAGTTTGATAGATTTAATATAATACATAAATGTCGATTATTTAGGTCAATTTAAATAAATATATTAATATTATTTTTCAATTGTTATTTGTATAAATCAACAATGTGTGAACTAGAATAATATAACAAGATGTATAAATAAAAACCATTATAATATGAAAAAAAACCGCATCAAAATTTTTTTTTTATTTTTTGGTTTTTTGTTTTTTTTTTCGCAACCTTTTTCTTTTTTCTTTTTTAGTAAACAAGCTTTAATAAAATTAAAAAGAAAAAGTAATTGCAAAAAAAATTTTACTATAAATACAACACATTCTTTTTTTCCCACCGATTCCCCTTTCTTCTTTCTTCACCTTATTGCAGGTCAAATCACTTCAATTCTACTTTAAATTTTTATTACCATAATCATTATTTTGTCATCATATAAATATAATCGTAAAATAATATCAATTATATTTATTTTTTTTGTTTATGAAAAGAAGAAAAAGAAGAAATAATTTAGTTACTCATATTTATTATTCATAATGAGTAATGATACTAGTTATGACCCAAACACTGATCCAAATGCCCCTTACGTAGATTACGGTGTGAATCCAGAGTTTACACAGGACATTGAACATTTTCGATTAGAAGCAACTTACGACAAATTAAATTTTTATCTAAGCATTATAAGTATTTCATGTGGTTTCTTGGTATTATTTATCATGACCATTATGTGGCTTTATGATAGAAAGTTGGTCGATCGTGTATCATTGAGGTTGACTGCAATGATTTCCTTTGTGGATATGTTAAATGGTGGAACTGTGTTGGCGTACACGCTATGGATTCCTGTAGATGGTACATTATGCACTGCTATTGGATTTGGAATGAGTTTTTTCCCTCAGTTATATTTATTTCTAACTGTTATGATTGCATTCAATCTACAGGTAATTAGAATTATTGTTAGCGTAAATATTGATTTTTTAGTATTATTACAAATTATTAATAGCAAAAAAATTTATTTTCTTGGTGATTGCAGGTTGTTTTTCTTCACAGAAGAAAAGTTTCAAGATTTTCAGATAGATGGTATGTTCCGGTAGCGTTTCTAACAGCATTAATTATAAACATACCACCGCTAGTCTATAATAGATTTGGCTTTGACATTGATGTCATTGATTGTTTATACAGAGAAGGTTATTCCGAGGCAACAAGATGGTGGTCAATTTTAACATTTTTCATTCCAATAACAATATCAATGATTTATTGTACAACGGTTTTGATGATTGTGGTGTGTAAATTGATCTTTGAACATCGTCAATTGGCAGAAGTCATACAATCTTCAAAAAGCAATAAAACCTTATCAGTAAAAGCCAGACACAAAAAATTATTATTGTTAAAATTGGTTAGTCGTATTTCTCTTTATGCGTTAATACCTTTGCTCAATGTAAGCGGTATCTTGGTGGAACTTATTTATACTTCAGTGCACAAAAAAAATCGAACCGAGCCTCAGGCTATAATTTTTTGGTCAATTATTGGAACATGTTCTCCTGGAATTTTTAATTTTTTTGCATTCGTATTCGATCCAGCTTTACATAATGGTTTTAGAAGGTATAAAAGAGTTTTGGTGGATAGTTATGGCTTTGTGAAGCCGTTCGACGACGATAATAGCAAAGCAACTGTCTCTTTAAATAGTCCACCATTGTCACCATCAGAATTTAGGTTTCCGTCAAATACACCAGCAACTGCAACGACAGCTGCATCTTTTAATAGTATTGGTAATATCACTAATAATAATGACAACATTAACAACAACATTAATAATAATTTTAATAATAATAAAATTCAACCCCAATCATCACCAATATTAACTGAAATTTCAATTGCACCACCTAACACCAACCTTAATAGAACTTTTAGAAATTCATCATTAACATTACCCCCAATAACACCACTACAAAAATCATCATCACCAATCCTAAGTAAGAGTAAATTTATGAAATGGTTTGTACGTAGTTTCCTACTTGACAAACAACAAAAATCTCGATTAAAACAACAAAAACTACGAAAAAGTCAACTAAAAGAATCAATTAAATCACAACAATCACAACAACAACAACACCACTATTCTTCTTCTTCATCGCCTTCAATGATTACCATATTACATCCTCCAATAATCAATAAATCATCTCATAATAGATCTAGTTCAACTACACTGATCAATTATAACATTAATAACAATAATAATAATGTTGACATTAACAAAATTAATAATAGTTACAAAAATAGCTATGGTAATGATTTATTACATGCTCCAACAACAACATCATCATCTTTATCACAAAATACAATCAATATTCATCTACATCAACATAATCGACATCACCAAAGAACTCTTTCATCTTCTTCAATTGAATCTTTAGATTCCGTTAATGAGACGTCTGCGTATTAATATAATATTATTGTTATCATATTATAATTATCATTGTAATTAATTAATATTATAAATAGAATATTCTTTTTTTTTTTTTGTATATTATTATATAGTAGTATTAATAGATATATATATACATGTGTGTACACACACACACATATATATAATAACTTAATAATAATAAACACTGTAAATTTTAAAGCGAGATCCGTTATTGTCATCCTTTTTATGGAAAAACCGGTTTTTTTCTCCGCTTATATTCTAGATTCTAGGAAAATTTAATATATATATATAATGTCAATATTATCATTTTTTTTTTTTTTTTTTTTTAAAAAATAAATATATACAAAATTTAACAAATCTAAACCAACAACAAAAATATGGTTATATTTAAATCTAAACTCCCTGATCTAAAAATCCCATATGTTGATGTTTATCATCATGTGACCAGTAATCCTAATTCCATTCCTGATACTAAACCAATTTTCATTGATGGGTTGACTAACGAAAAAATCACTTTTGGTGAATTTAAAAGTTATACTCGAAAGGTTGCCAGTGGATTAAAATCAATTGGATTTAAACCTGGAGAAGTTTTGGCAATTGTTTCCCTGAATCACATCCATTATCCTATTGCGTTATTTGGAGTCATTGCATCTGGTATTTAATTAATTAATCAATAACTAGTTTATTTATTGTCCACAAAAAAATTTTCAATTTTTTGCAAAATTTTTTTTTTTCAGGTGGAATTGTTACATTAGCTAATTCTGGTTATAAAGCTCATGAATTAACACATCAACTATCCGACTCCAGAGCATCAGTCATCATTGCACATCCATTACTATTACCTACTGTATTGGAAGCTGCAAAAAATGTAAAAATACCAACTTCCAGGATCTTTGTATTTGATGAAAAGGAAGACCTTGAAAATGGCATTAAACCATTCACCAGTCTATACAAGGATGATGATGATTCAGCAATTATTCATTATACAACCGAAGAAAAAGTCAAATCAACTACTGCCTATTTGTGTTATAGTTCTGGTACAACTGGCAGACAAAAAGGTGTTGAGACCACACATTATAATATGATTGCTAATCTTGAACAAGTATATCATTTCGAGAAATTCACTCCTGATCTTGTCTTCTTGGGAATATTGGTGAGATTGGATAATAATAATTACGATGATTGTGATTCATGATTTATCATAATCGTGATTATGAGTTTGATGATGATATTTTATCTTATTTCATTACAGCCACTTTTTCATATATATGCATTGAACATTACTCTGCATCAAGTAGCTTATAGTGTAAGTTTTCAATAAAATATTTTGTTTCTTTAAAAAAACTTCCTTCTCATGAAACTTTTTTATTATAAATAATAGGGAGCGTCAGCAATACTTTTATCAAAATTTGATATAAATTCATTTTGTCAAACAATACAAGATTATAAAATAAATCTTGGATATATAGTTCCGCCGATTTTGCTTCAACTGGTTAAAAACCCAGTTGTTGACAAATATGATTTATCAAGTTTAAAATTTATTGTAAGCGGTGCTGCTCCATTGAGCAAAGAGTTGAGTAAGATGTTCAACGACAAATTCAAGAAAATACCTCTTAAGCAAGGTTATGGACTTACTGAAACTACACCAGTGCTTACATTGGGTAAAACTGATGATGTTGTAATTGGTAATATAAAAAATTATGTTTTGAATTATTTCATCAGAAAAAAAGAAATAAATAATAATATTTTCTTTTTTAGGGTCATCTGGAATTATTATAGCAAATGTTGAGATAAAATTTATTGATGAAAATGGAAAAGGTAATAAGAAGTAATAACAATAATTTAATTTAATTCTTCAAAACTAAATAATTAATTTTTTTGATAGAACTTGGAGTTAATGAAGAAGGTGAAATATGTGCTCGTGGTCCAAACATCATGAAGGTACCAATCATATACATATATATATATATATGAATATTGTTAATTAATTTACTTTGACTAAAGCCTCCAAAAAAATAGGGTTATCTTAATAATGAAAAAGCCACTAAAGAATGTATGGATAAAGATGGATTTTTTCATACTGGAGATCTTGGTTATATTGATGAAAATGGTAAATTGTTATTTATCATATAATGTTATGTAAAATATTTTCTTTTATTTTTAATTGACATGTTTATTATTATTATTGTAAAAAGGGAATGTTTTCTTGGTTGATCGTGTAAAAGAACTTATCAAGTATAAGGTCTGCAATCTTTCTTTTTTTTACTTGTTAATTAAAATAAATTTTAATCAATTGATTCCTCATCCCCTTATTCATCACCATCACCTTTCATCATCACCTCAAATTTTTTTAGGGCCATCAAGTTGCACCTGCAGAACTTGAATCAGTTCTACTTTCCAACCCTATAATTTCCGATGCAGGTGTAGTTGGCATATATTCAGAACAAGACGCTACAGAATTACCAGTTGCTTATGTCGAACTAGTAAATCCAGCCGCCAGTGATCACCAACAAATTAAAAAATCCATTCAAGATTACGTGGCTGAAAAAGTTGCTCACCATATGCGACTACGTGGTGGTGTCTACATTATTGATAAGATACCTAAAAGCGCTTCCGGCAAAATTTTGAGAAAAGATTTGAGAGAACGACTTAAAAGTGAATGGGTTCGTCCTGATAATCTTTAAAGAAACTGTATAAATATATTTTTTTTTATATCACTCTATAAATAGCCTGTTACTATTGTGTGTAATGTTCATTTGAACATTTTTATTAATATTATAATATATAATAAACACATTTTTTGAGATCCAATGAGATCTTGGCATAACAATGTTATTTTTTGAATGTCATATGCACAAGTTTCATACTCGGATTTATTAGTATCATAAAGGCGACTTATTTAGAGCAAATGGCGAAAATTCAAACATTGTAAAGTTATTCGTGATACGCCACATACCAGGTTACTTTTTCATAATTGAATTATTTAGAACTGTTGTGCGTGAAAATGAAGCCTATGTGAACTTGAGCATAGTGGACATTCGTTTTATCACATGTGACAAAATCGATCGTTGATCTTTTTTATTATTATGTTGTGAAAAATGTGGCCTCAATTGAATTAGAATACAGTCAAAACTCTCTATAACGAACAAAAATTCTCGGGACAGGGGGTTCGTTGTAGAGAGCGTTCACTATACAGTCTGCCCTTGTTTCAACGAAGTTGCTGGACATATAAGAAAATTTTATTCAACATTCGTTGAAACAAGGTTACTAATCGCGTTTCAACGAATTTTACATGTTTTCATAATGTGTAACAACGTTTTTAAAAAATTCGTTGTATCAAAAATTTAATTATACCTCGTTGAAACAAGGGTTCACTGTATAATAATAATAATAAAGAAAGTGTCGATCAATCATCACGTTTATAGTCATGTGATCGTAATATAATTATGAAAATTGCACATTAACCTCTTTTAAAATCTCAGTTACTGTAGATTTTCCAACATTATAAATATCTGCAAGTTCAACGTTAGAAATATTCGAATCCCTTTGTTTCGACAAACATATTTCTTTCTTTTGTAAAGCTGTCAAAGTAGTTATTCTTTTAGTTGACATTTGATTGAATTTTAAAATATATTTTTTAAAAAAAAAAATGCACACGGATATTTTATATATTTAACTAAAATTGGTATTTTAATTTATTTTCTTTATTTTTATTAATGATTTAACAAAAGAGACGTAGTGTGTAAACAATCAATTAATAAACAATTGTATTCTTATCGCTTGTATTTCGTTATAGTTAAAGAAAGAAATCGGTATAATATACTTTGTATCAAATAATAATAATAATAAATTTTTTTTTATGTCAATTTTTGTGTTCGGTATAGAGAGCGCCATTTTATATTTAAATTTGTCATATGATTTTTCAAAAGCAGTTCATTATACAGAATAAAGAATTTAATTATAAAGTTCGTTATACAGAGCAAAATTAATTAACAAAAAATCGGGACCAACACCTTAGTTCATTATAGAGAGCAGTTCGGGTTTTTGGAGGTTCGTTATAGAGAGCTTTGACTGTATGTACAAAATTTTCTTTGCACTTTGCATAATATAAAAAATATTGGAAAAATCTACATCTAAATTCGATAAGTCGGATGCAGCAATCAATTATTTAAAGTACTTTATAATATGAATAAATGTCCGAATTATCGAGTTTAGATATGTATTACTATTGACATTTATAGATGGACATGCACCATAATAGATTATTGGCCACCCTTAATGTAACACGCGCGCCCGCACACTGGATGTAACTTTATTCATTTTCATTCCCATTTAAATTGACACATATAAATCTTTTCAAATTATAATAAACACTTATTGTGTATGAACTGTTTTATTATGTTCGTTTCCTATGTTATAATAAATAGTTTGCATGAATTGCAATGTAAAAATTATAATAAAAAATAAAGATAAATATAAGATGAAGTAAAAAAAGTTAAAGAGATAAATGAAGTTATCAAAGAGCCAAAGAGCCATTTTCTATTTAAAATAAAATGCAAATTATAATAAACACTTATTGTGTATGAACTGATTTATTTATGTTTGCTTCCTATGTTATAATATATAGTTTGCATGAATCTTAAAGCAATGTAAAAATTATATTAGAAAATAATGATAAATATAAGATAAAAGTATAAAAAGTTAAAGAGATAAATGAAGTTATCAAAGAGCCAAAGAGTTATTTCTATTTAAAATAAAATGAAAATCAATCAACAGTTAATATTTTTTTCAAAACAATTGAATGCAATAATGGTAAATGATGAGAATACTTGCCTATTTATTATTTAAAATAAATTGAAAATCAAACAGTTAATATTTTTCAAGCTGTAATAATAGTAATTGCCTATTTATTATTTAAAATAAAATGAAAATCAATCAACAGTTATATGTTTACAAAAACAATGGTAATGGTAGTAAATGATAAAAATACTTACTTTCTATTTACTATTTAAAAATAAAACGAAAATCAACAGTTAATATTTTTCAAGAATAATATTGACTGTAACAATAGTGGAATGATGAGAATACTTACGGTCTATTTATTATTTAAAATAAAATGAAAATCAAACAGTTAATATGTTTTCAAAAATAATGATATTGACTGTAACAATAGTGAAATGATGAAAATACTTACTTCCTATATTTATTATTTAAGATAAAATGAAAATCAAACAGTTAATATGTTTTCAAAAACAATGTTATTGACTGTAATAATAGTAGAATGATGAAAATACTTACAGCCTATATTTATTATTTAAAATAAAATGAAAATCAACAGTTAATATTTTCAAAAAAAACAATGATATTGAGTGTAACAATAGTGAAATGATGAGAATACTTACTTCTTCCTGTATAAAATAAAAATTAATAGTTAGTATGTTTTCAAAAACAATGATATTAATAATGAAATGATAAAAACACTCACACACTATTTATTATTTAAGATAAAACAAAAATCAACAGTTAATATTTTCAAAAAAACAATGATATTGACTGTAATAATAG